CAAGTCTGGACTTTGATAAAAGATACTCAAGCTGGGTGGTGGTGGTGATAGCTAGATTGGTGAAAAGACAAGTGTGAAAAGATAGCTCGGTGGTGGGTGGTGATGTTCGTACATAGCTAGCTGGTGGTGAAAAGACAGATGTGGAAAAAATGCTCGGTGGTGGGTGCTGAGTGAAAATACGAGTGTGGAATAAACCCTTGGTGGTGGTGATGGTGTCAGTTGGTGTTCTCGGTGATGGTAGCCCGTGGTGTGTATCAAAAATTGAAGGACATGCCCAAATTCCAAAAACCGAAAACCGAAAACCGAAAACCGAAGTTTTGAAAAAACGGTGGCGGTCACTTCACGTCACGGCTTCCGTAGTAAATTCACCTGTGGCACTTCTTTTGAATGACATAACAGTGGACAGTACAGTGTGCGGTACCGTCGACTGTCAAGCCGGATCTCTGCGCTAGATCACTTCAGATGGGCTAGACCAGCATATCATCAACTTTACAAAGTCATTACTCGTGATCCTGAAGACTTCAAAACATCAAACATGAATTTACAGATAAGAATGTGCTTAAGTGAACGTGCCCCAAAGGTATATATGTAAGTACCAACAACTTGAGAAGCCATTCAATTTCACCATAAAATTTCACTTTTAAAGGAAATTTCAATTGATCAATGAAAACTAAATTGTACCAAGAATTCCAAGAAGAAATTAAACCTTTCAAACAAGCTGGATTTCTCAAAACCACTTAAATTTAAACATGTTATAAAAAAATATAGTATATAATAATTTCAAGTTCAATTTCAATTTCTCTTTTTCTTTCTCTTTCATTTCAATCATTCATTCATTCACAAAAGAATCCCTAAAAAAAATCAAATACAACAAACCCAACCTAATCCAACCCCCTTCATCTTCCTATTCTTTTTAAAAAACCATACCATAATCCCTCCTTTCACAAACATACTGCACACAAAAAAAAGAAAAAGAGATAAAAAACAAACAGACAAAAAAAAAGAATTAAAAAAAAGAAGATAAGAAAAAAAGATAAGAAAAGATCATATATATTGTTGTATATATCTCTCAATCTATCTATATATATATATTTGTATTTTTATAATATTCATACTTATAAATCAAAAAAAATCAAACTCAAAAAAAATAGATAGAATCAAATCATTCATATTCATACAAATCAAAATCAAATGAACCCAGTCCAATTTCATTTCATTTCATTTCAACTCAACTCCACCTCTTCCTGATTGCCATCACTCTTTACTCCTTCTTCATTCCTATTCCCACTCCCACTACCAGTAGCTGATTGTTCTTCAGATCCGATTGAAACTTTACTAACCAAAGGTTCATATTCACCTAAATCTTCATAAATCCCTTCATCTGTCACTTTACGTTGATCAAGTTCATCAGGTACCAAAAAACTACTCGAAGCCGAAACACTTCTTTCCAATGCCCAAGGTTTCGAAACTTCTGCTGGTTTAGGTTCGCTTGGATGACTGATCTTCTGATTGGTATTTTCGACTAATGGAATCGGTCTAGATAAAAGATAAGAAGCACGTGGAGTACTAGGTTCTTCTGAAAGACTTGGTCCCATTAGACTATCAGATCCTTGAGGTGTTGGTGTATCAGGTCTAGTTGAAATCTTATGGCTAGGAGGAGTAGAACTCAATTCATTTCCAAAACTCGGTTCATCATTCAAACGATTTCCAGTACTAAAAGCACCATCTAAGATCGAAATTGGTAATTGTGAAGTAGAAGGTGTATCAGTAAGACCAGAAGATTTATTCACAAACGGAACTGAATTCTTCATTAACTCTTGATGTTGTTGATCTTGTGGTTGATGAACCGTTGGATTACTCTCATCACAAGCTTCTGAAATCGCTTGACTAATCTTTTGTAATTTAGCTTCTTCTTCAATCGCCTTCTTCTTCCGATCTTCTTCTTCCACCAAACTTAATCTCATCGCTTCCATAATCATCAATTCTTCTAAATCTACACCAAACGAAGCTTCATTTCTTGATCTTCTAGAACTAGTACTGCCACCATTACTACCACTACTACCATGTCCTCCTACCAAATTACTAAAAGAGGCTAATGTTCTTCTACTACTAATCGATCCAGCGCCAGTGCCAGAAGTGCCGGTTCCAGTACTTCCTGATTCATGTTCGATCCCAGTTAAGAAAGAACTAGAAGGGTCTCTAGAAGATGTGATGCCAACTGGTATCAATCGATCTCCTTCTTGTCTAAAGACGATCCGTCGATTCGCTCTTCTTGCTACAGTAGCCTTGACAGCTTCTAATTTAAGTTGCCAATCTGGTTGAATTGAATCTGTGGTCACCACATCTTGACTTGTATGACTTGTGTTTTGTCGACGTTTAGATGAGCTTGGTTGGGTTGGGTTTAGTGTTTCATTAGGTTCAAGACTTGGGATCGGAGTACTTGGAGGTGATGAGGATCTTGAAAGTTCATGATTTGTTGGAGGAGTTGAAGATTCGGTTAATAGAGGATCGTCAGACGGTGGTGACTTGATTTGGATTTGTGGGGTGGTGGTTGTGGTTGGTCGTTTAGGGGCTTCATAAGTGACACCGAAATTGGATTCAACACAATATGGACAACAGGCAGCTACATAGGATGAGAAAAAGGTGGGTTTAAGAAGATTAGATTGACGATCAGATGCTGTGAAGATCAGATCGATCACATACGTTCACTCTTCAATTCTTGAGCTGTAGGATCAGCACGTTTGATTTGAACAAAGCATTCGGTACAGATAGGTTGTTGACAACAACGAGATAAGTTGATATTTGAAGGATAATATCTAAAAACGTGCAGAAATGATTAGTAATGTAATGAAATGATTTTAAGAAGTGAAAAAGAATACTAACAAAAAACAAATTGGACATTCAGCAGTTTCATTCAAATAACAAAGAGCTTCTTCAGATCTGATTTCCCAATTCAAGACAGCCTCAAAGACATCTTTACGAAATTGAGGATTTGAATCGATTAAGATTGAATGATGAATTGGACCTTCTAAAGTTTTACCAAACCTACGAGAGGTGGTACCTGAATTAGTTAATTTCTCTTGTTCTGATTTCTCTTTTGATTCTTTCTTTTGAATGTCTTGAATTAATCTTTGTCTTGATTTGTTAGCTGATTGTAATGCTAATAAGATTTGATTTGTATCCCATTCGGATTCCCAATCTTCTAATCCACGATAGAATGGTGCTAGTTTTTTAGATAAGATTAAACGTTGAGTTGTATCGTGTAACCAATCTTGTTGAGAAGCAGGATAGATGTTAGATAATGGTAAAAGATAACCACCGTCTATAAAAGTGGTAGAGAGAGGAGGTAAAGGTGGACCAGGATTGGATTGTTGTTGTTGTTGATGTTGTTGATTTGAAGATGAGGAATGAAGAAAAGGATTTAAACTTGAAGATTGAATTGATGTTTGATTTGAATGGTTATGAGGATGAGAACGAGAAGAAGAAGAATGTTGATGATGAGATGATGGATTGTTACCCATGGTCAACTAGAACACAAAAACCAAAAATTAACAATCAAACCATCATCAGTCAGTCAATCAAAACTTCAATCAACAAAACACAACCATTTCAAAACATCATCATTCAAACTACAGTTTATTTTAATTCACTTCTCAAAGTCACACACACACACATACCTTTTTACTAATCTTAAACTTGGTCACTATTCTCATCAAACTACTTTTCGGTATCACTATTGATTCTCTTTTCTTCATCATCATCTTCAATATCACTTTCTCAAAACCGTATCTATTGATTGATTGATTGATTTGATAAATAAAATTATAATAAATTGTGGATATGATATGATAATTTGATAAAGAAAAGGGAAAACGAACAAACAGATCTCTATTTAAATTCACTTCTTTATATCTGCAATCTGGTTTATATGCTTAAGGATTTCATTTTGAATTACAAGCTACACTTTTAAGATTTGACTAGCAAAAGGGTCTCGTTTATAATCTTGCGTTGATAAAAAAAATTAACTACAACAAGTTTTTACTGACTCTCTACCTTCCTTCACTACCGACTTGTATTCATGCCATCATCGCCAAAAAAAACTCTCAACACGAACCATTGATGATGTACTCAAACCAATTCAAAAAGTTGATTTACCTAGTTCGGTTTACATAAACTGTCTACAACAAAGAAATATTGACATCATCTTTCTCATGTATTTCCTACTTTATGAACTTCATCAAATCATCACCAAAAAGGTAAAATCATTCCCACACCTTTCTTGAGATCACCAAACAGCTTGATAAGTTTATGGAACAGCGTGGAGAGAGTGATGCTTTGGATGATCTCTGCACACACATTCAATCTTGGAGCGCTAGAGCTTGGAAGCTTGCCGAATCGAAGGATTTATAGAAGAAAGACAAGATTGGCTTGCTGAGAAAAGAATAGAGTTTAGAATTCTCGTTGAGTTTATACCAGATCAGAGACGGCTTCAGCCTTCAAGCGGTAGCCGATGGGCTCATGAGTCATAACTGTCATAACCTCTTGAGATCACGAAACAGTTGGAATAGCGTGAAGAGGTTGAGAGGAAAGGTTTTGTATTTTTATTTCACTTTGGTATGAACATAGAGAGCAAGAAATAAAAGAGAAACATTTCCACCTAGAACAGTTGTGGAGAGATTGAGAGGGAAGCAAGGTGAAGAAAAAGATCATCTTTCCTATATTGCTGCGCCACTGTCAGTGAGGTTAAATATAGCGAAATGACAACAGAAGCCAGGGATGCAGGAGTGAGTATGAGTTTACTCAGTAAAGTGAGTATTATTAAGTATACTGAGTATTTTTGCCTATTTTTGGCCCTGTAAACCCGTACAAAGTGAGTATCAGTTGAGTATATACTCATACTCGGTACTCATTCCTGCATCCCTGACAGAAGCTATCACACAACAGACATGTTGCCAAAAGATATGAAATATGTCACAGGCAACAGTGTCAGTAGTTGACGGACATCACGCAGGACCTTACATAATCAACCAGTAGTCAACACAAGACTTGATAAGACTTGATAAAGTACAAGTCACGCAGGACTTATCAAGTTGAAGCTCAAAAGAACTCAACTTCATTGATGAAAGAATCTTGTAGTGATTTTCTGAAAAGTTATGCAAATCATTCACGAGATGTATGTGTATGTACCACTATATCCTCAACTTCAAAGAACCTTTAAAGTTTAAATCAATCTTTTGGATCAACTTTGGGTTTGGAAATCAAGATGTTTTTGTTTTTATTAAACTCAACTTATTCCATATTTGACCTGCAGTATGTTTTACCACATGCATCCATCAGCGGGAAAATCAAACTTAATCTGTTGAGATGCAAAGATTCAATTGGATATATATGCATGTGATCTTACCATATAATAAGATGTACCCACATACATACCCAGTCCCATATCTTTCATAACCTATATCTTTCATAACCCATACCTTTCAGACCCATATGTCTATTTGTTTGGTGAAAAATGAAGATTGTCAAAATCAAACATTACAAAGATTTGAAAAATTTCAACTTCTCCTTCACTGCAAAGATTTTGAATTTTGAATTTTGGATTGAAATTCTTATTTTCAAACCGAATGAAATACCTGAAAAATCAAGAAGGACAATTTGAAATGTGAATTTTGAGTTCTTTGTTGTTTTAGCTTTGTTTTTAAAAACTGTAGATGTTGAACATTGTATGACAATATAGTTTTGAATCTTTAAAGTGATGATTATCATTTGTCATAGAAGAAAAGCAGATTCTATCAAACTGGTAGGCCTGAGCTGGATTACCAGTTGTTTTACAAGCAAATTCTCAGGGTGCACTTGTTGAAAATGCGTGGAATTGTTCAGCGTTTGATGACAGATTTACAGCTTTCAATCCCACCAGTATCTTTTACCGTTTGCATTGATGCTGTTATTTGGAAACGAGTTAACTCTGAGAATCTCATTAGTTTTTGTTTATATATATTTTAAGTGTGAAGAATCATCAATGGATTACAATAAATCAATGAGAAATGTATTAATGAAATAGTGACTTTGTGGAAAGAATGTATCATCTTTAGATATTAAAGAATATGTGATATATATATATGGTTTCAAAGTGATCATAAATGAGTTTATACAACTACAAAAAAAGGAAATCAAAGAATAGTTCACCTAGTTACATTGATTTCCATGAGCCTTGAAAGTTGGGTCCTTAGGAATCCAACCTCCCTATTCAGAGAAAAAAACAAAGATAAATAAGAATTCATTCAAAATCAAATCCATCAAGTAGAAAAAGAAATTGGATCTAACTGACCTTAACTCCAGCATCATAACTACCATCATCTGCATTCTCAGCTTTAAAAGTCCACATGATCCATCCAGAAGCTTTTTCATAAACAGTAGTTTGAACTTCAAACAATCTACCTAAACTAAGTTTATATTCTTCTGAAAAAGTTTCTCTAGATCCACTTTTTCCTATACAAGATCCGATCTTTTGAAATCCAGTATAGGTACCATCATATCTTGATCCACTAGGTTGATGATTAACACTGTTTGCACAATCTGTTGGACTAGGTGCGAATTCTCCTACAAATGTTAAGATGGCTTGATTACTTTTTTCTAATGAATTAGCCATAGCACAATAAGTTGCTACTCTTTCATCATCACTCTTTTCTATAGATATTTTGTCAAAGATCGTATAGATATGTGTGTCTAATGCAACTGATTGATACTTTGGTGATGGAAAAGAGTTTGACCAAGTTTCGATTGGCTGAAATGAATCATGTACCACATATAGTAAATCAGATTGAAGAGTTTCGTTGTTAGGGTATCGCACAATATCGTATGCGTCTACCAAATTAGAAATCCATAAAGCAAAGAAGATTTTAGTGGCTTTCTATAACATTCAAGATACTTCAACTATATAAGAGATAAACATACCATGGTAAAATTGCTTAGCAGTATTCAAAGTCTTTCCACCATCATTAGCAAATCCAGCAGGCTCATTAAGTGCTTCTAAGCTAGTAACCGTTCCGGCTGTAAAACACATTTCATTGCAAGTGTGGTTAATGTGAATGATCAAGTTTTCTACAAGTTAAGAAATAAAGACTTGCCATATTTAGCTTGAGAAAACTCTTTGGTAATCTCTGCAAGTGTTTGTTTAGTACGAAGTATATTTTTTGGATCATTTGGCCAATTTATCGGTCCTTTACGTCCAGAGTTATCTGTGATGATCAAAAAAAATAGATGAATATATGATGACTAGCTAGTTGCAGGAATATCTCTACGATATTTCCAAAGCCTTACCAAAACCATTCTGTGAACCAGGAGCACCGTGCTGAGTCATGGTCAAGATTTTTCGACAAATGAGCTTCCGATTTGTTTTGAAGTAAAATTACATGTATAATGTATTTGTCTCACCAAATCAATCATGACCTTGAGTCCTGCTCTTCTTGACCACTCAACTGCTTGTTTGAGGTACTAAATAACAAAGGTCGTAAGCTCATTTAGTTTGATATTCAGGAAATTTGTTTCGAGGGTTCGCTGGAGAAGGCTTGTTTACCTCATATTGTCCTTGGACATAGGGCTCTCCGCCTGAGATGTCAAACGCCCAATATCCTGGATTGAAAAACACATTCAGCTCAGCTGCCTATGATATGTACTACGATGCAATTGAAAAAATACGGTTGAAAGCTTACCAATGGGAATACGGACATGATTGAGACCATATGATTTCATAGCTTGAAAATCAGATTCTGTATAAAATGAATCCCAATGTGCGCGCAAACGTTTGCTTGCTTCTTCTCGCCTTTAAGAATTTGTCATGATTGAACATCAGTAAAGTTTTATTTCAGTGAAACAAGATGATTTGCGTACCCTAAATATTGGCAAAATGTGTATTCATCCACAATCTTACTATTCCCAGTTCTATACAAGGTTGGTGTGAGCCAAGACTCCGTTACTAGCCATCCGCCAATATTAACACCTCTTATCTTGTCTTTGCCGTATTCAAATCCGGTGTTTGTACTGGCAGCCGTATACTTTTCACGAGAATCGATTATCGGAGTAGTCCCTTCCGATGAGTCCGAATCTTGACTACGTATGGCAGTATCGGCGGGGGCTGTATCAGTTTGATCACCTGAAAATTCATTCTGAGTGCCGAAAATATCAGAGCTGATATCCGACCACAATGATTGAGTAGTGATGGAAATTTCGAAGCTGAGAAAGAAAGCGGCCCAAAGTAAAATGGGTGTCGCTTGTAGTAGGTGCATGTGTAAAATGATCTTGGTGGCGTAATGAACGTGAATGATGTGGTAGTAAAACGATGAGGAGAGGCCAAAACGAGGATGGACTGATGGGATTGGGTATGCTTTACTTGCAATCAGGGAGGTTGACCCGCGATATGAGAAGGCAGACACTCCCTGAGGTGAAAAATAACTGAAGGGTAAACATATTTTAGGACTGGTTTGGCTTTGAAGCAGCGAGTCCAGAATGCTCCATGATAGAAATAACTGACCCTAAAATGAGTGAATCATGGGTACGCTAGTTCAGTCCTTTACAAGAACGAATTTGAGATGTATAATCATGTCACGATATCATCAAATCAACTCGATACGCGTGCTTATGAAGGATTCGGCTTCAGCGGATGATCTGAAAACGAAATCGACAGCAAGGAACTGGCTTTTTGGCAAAGGTTTTTGTATCGTGGCCTGAGATGTCCCATGTTTTCATCACGATCCCAATGCGTGGTATGGTTCTATTGCCGTCAAGATGGGGTTGATGAACGGAGCAACACAACTTGAGGCTTCATCTCCTCTGCAAACACCTTGAAGTTGGAAAGGTCTTTCAAGCTCCAGCAGTTGAGGGCGCGCCCGTTTCTATCAGCAGTATGCTGAGCGGCGAGCCACGTCAGGCGCGCCTTCTTGTAAACAAAAAGTCAACTTCTCTGACCGTGAAAAAAGTTGAGCAGAGAGCAAGTAAGAGATTCTTCGACCAACACCTCAACAAACTTCATCTTGTGAAGCAATCCCCACCAGACGACGTGAGCTGTGTTTTTTGCGTTTCATGGGCACGCCCTTTAGCTAGCGCACTGTTTTCTCACTGACAGCACCCTCAAGGCATCACAAGTCCAGATTGTGCTCCGACTCACAAATGCACTTTGTAAGCCACGTTCACAGTATTAAACCAGAGGTGGTGCCCTGTTGGAGTCATCGAGGATGATTGGGATGTTTTTGATAGCAAGCGGATTTCGGAAGCTTTGGGTGTCAGAAGAGGTAAAATTCAGGTGGGGCCTAAAGCAAGCACTGAACTAGCTGAGAGTTTTGGCTGGCAATCTTGTTGTAATGGTCGTAGAGAAACCTTACATGTACTTGGATATTTTCAAGAGGCAACTGAGTTTCTGTACCCTAGCTTGCATACAAGAATAGGTTAGGTCAGGATTTACCTTCTGCTTTGAAAGTCTCAGTCATGACAATGCATTTGAGAGGAGCCATAAACAATTGGAACACTAAAGTGAATTAAGAATTGGTAAAACTTGGTTTACGCTTTTCTGCAAAGGCCCTCATACCTTCTTTTTGATCATTCTATCATGAAATGATCAGAAACAACAAGCACAATTAGCTAGCTGCTGATTGTCTTTTATAAGCTATGATGATGAGATAGGTATCAAACAAGACATACCGTTGCAAATAACATGTGGAAGAGTCGCCGCTCAAAGTTCAAACCTTCGCGTAACGGTAACTCGTAAGCTGGAAAGAAAGCCAAAGAACACCCATTCAAGATCAATTTCTGCAATACTTGTTTGTGTACTTCTTCAAAAAGGGGGATATTAAACTTGATCCTAACCTGAATTGATGGCCTCTTTGGCGGCTTTGACCGATAATCTTCCTTTACTAGAGATCTTCTCGGCCACTTTGACGGCTTCCTTTACAAGCTCGTCGTGATTGCCTTGTACGATTCTAAAATGATCATATCTTAGAAATCGAGATACCTGGACTTTCCTATCTGTTTTCGTTTCTAAGCTTGGAGTAGAATTGAGTAATCAAAAAATCACCTTGATATGAGGCCCCAATCATAGGCGTCTTGAGCAGAAAAATTACGCCCTGTGAGGACGATCTCCATCGCTTTCGATTTTCCTATCGCTTTGGTCAATCGTTGAGTACCACCTGCGCCGGGAATGACGCCCAGCTGCAGCAGAAACCTTCAACCATGATCAAACTCTCGAGACTCGAGCTGTCTGGTCCCAACTCACATTGATCTCCGGTTGGCCAAAAGTTGCATCCGGGCTTGCCAGAATGATATCACACCTGTTTTTTTCAACCTTTTAGCTTTCCAGTGCCTTTCCATGAAGCCTCATCGTTCACTCACATCATTGCCAATTCGCAACCGCCTCCAAGGGCATATCCACTCACAGCTGCTATGATCGGTTTCCTCACAGCGGTGATTTCAGTCCAATGTGTGAGAAAATCGGCCCCATAGGTTTCCTGAAGTGTACGTTCTTTCATCTCTTTGATATCTGCACCGGCCGCAAAAGCCTTCTCGTTACCGGTCAAGACGATCACCTCCGTTTGAGAATCAGGAGCGTCGAGATTTTTGAATGCATGATTTAACTCATGAAAGAGTGGTGAGGAGAGCGCGTTTAAAGCCTTCGGTCGGTTAAGAGTAACTAGAGTGACTGATGGTGAGGGTTGGGTAAGTGAAATGTTTTCATAAGAGTGACTCTCGTTAGTCAAAGATCGTATGTGAGTCAAGGTCACACAAGGTGTTCGAGTTAAAGAGGCAGCTACTCTGGAAGGTCTGCGGGCTAGAAACATCCTTGTGGAAGTTGACTTTGATAATTTGTAAACAGAGGAAAAATTAACGACGAGTAAACTGCGCTTGTGGTTTAGAATGATGATGATCACTCGAGGATGAGCTGACGTCATGGGATGTCAAGTTTAGTGTTATGTACTTAAGGTCTTAAGTCAGACACAAATGGCCAATACGAGCAATACATGCGGCTCAAGTGTCAAGGGGATTCAGAAATGCTGGGCTGAGTCTCTCAAAAACTGTGATGATATAAGCAATTGATATGTCCGAGTCTCAATAAGATCTGCTTGGAATCACAAAGAAAGTTTGGTGTATGGAATGAATGTAATTTCTGCTTCAAAGCACAAGAGCTACTTTACTGATCTCAAATCAAACAGCGGAAGTTGACTGACAACGTTGTCACGAAAAAGAAGACAAATCAGGAGGGAGTGTAATGAATATAAAACGTTCTTCACGAATCGAATGGTCCACAGTACGATTGAAAAGAGACGCGGAGGCAGACGCTAGAGGCACTCGGCCTAAGGGAGAATTTGAAAGAATAAATGTAACTGATAAATTCAGTCGCAGAGCTCCAGCTTTTACGACTCCTGAACAAACAGAGAAGATAGCTCTTAAGGTGACTTGTCAGGGTTCTCGCCATCGAAGTGTCTTCCTTCCGTGTCCTCGTAGCCAGCAACTCCAGTCTCGGAGTTTCGGATAGGCCCAGTTCCTACGCCCGGTTCTCCACCCAGGTTGCTGTTCGATCAGAATCAGTAAGGATTCGGAATGTAAGCCATGGTGGACCCAAGAGTAGAATGCGGTTTGGCATGACTCACTTCCAGAAGAACACATCATAGGTCTCATCCGCTACCAACTCTGATTCCTCTGGAGCGATCTGTCACACACGTCAAGGGTCGGAGATGATAAGTATCAATTCAGCGCTACAGAAAAGCTTGGAAGAAAGAATTTACACACCGATGTAGCATAACAAGTTCCATAGGGTGCACCATGGTTGTTAGCCTTTGAAGCATCAATCTTGAAGTATGCGAAATTTTGACTGTGAGTTCGGAGATTGTGAGCACATTCAGCAGCTTGGACGTCATCGTTGGACTTTTCGGCTACAAAAATGAAAGGCAAAGCTGATATAAGTGAAAAGAACGAAGCTTTCAGATTAGAGAAAATTCACCAACCTGGATTCGCCGACAGCCAACTATCGCTTGGTCGTTTTCCGATGTAGTGACCGGTGGCGTGCAAAGTGGAAGCTCTCTCGGTCGAGGTTCTGTTGGTCCCGCTTGAGGTTGTGTTCGCTGGTGATGGATCAGAAGGAGATGTGGATTGATTTGATGAACTATGAGAATATCCGGATTCTTCTTGCGAGGTTTTACCCTGCTTGGTCGGATCTTCACTGGTTTGCTCAGAAGGATCGGCTTGAGAAGAGCTTCCTGATGGCTTGTTTGAATATCCAGATTGATCTTGAGACTCAGAGGTTGTACCCGTCTTTTCCGAATCTCCATCGGCTTGCTCAGATGAATCAACTTGAGACGAGCTTCCTGTTGACTTGTTTGAATCTGTGGACTCTTCCTGCGAGTACTTGTTCTTCTTGGTCGAATCTTCATCCGCTTGCTCAGTAGAATCGGGTTGAGACATGACTCCGGAGGGTTTGGTCAAATCCCCACCAGCTTGCGATGACATAGTTGACTGGGTCAAATCTCCGGTTTGTTTGTGCGAGCTTCCGGTTTTCTTGGAGTGGTCCCGAGTCTGGTGCGAAGACATATCAGAGGTCTTGTGAACAGCTCTAGCGTCAATATACATGCTCGGTGCCATCACACACAAAATAACGAAGAGAGCAAGTGATTTAGTCATGAAGCTCGACATTTTGATCAAAGAATTGTAAAAGGTAAAGAGAGAAAAGAAGAAGTGTTTTGTGGAAATTTATAAATTATTTATCAAAGTCTACAAGGTCTGTTGTTGGGGAGGCAGTAGAAATTGTGGCCAACGGAAATATTGTGGCCCGTTTATATATCCTCTTCTTTCCACTGAGTGTCTCATTTTTTGGAGTCCCTGACCATAGAGCAGTCCGAAAATATTGAGGAGTACCCTACGTTTTTGCAAAAAGAAACTCCAAGATCCGTGAAAACCATATCTCGCAGTGCAGCACGATGGCCTACTGTGGAACAGTCCGGCACGATTGATCAGTAACCTTTCGCAAAAAGAAACTCAGAGATAGGCGAAATTCATCATCTCGCAGTTCAACACGATGTCCAAGGTGAGTAGCAAAAGATCGTCAGCGTATAAGTACCCACTGATTGTCATTCTTGCTATTGGGAGATGCAACAGAGGGCTTCAAAGATGGGTGTCATGGCCGATATAATGATGTGCTGCTTGAGGGCACGCCATAGTTGGGATTTTTGCCAATGACGGGAAGGGCCGACAGAGATCCTGCGGAAGGAGATGCGTGACATAAACCGCCGAGTTTTGAATACCCCGCCCAACTCGATTTTGATCAACGTGAAAGTTCGGTCAGTCATTGACCCTGACGGCAAGGCCACTTCAAAGCTGCGCAGTGCTTACAAAGCCGTGGACAGTCTTGAGATGTCGATTGATGGATGTCACGGTATTGATGCAAGACATTATACTCTTGTACCGAGATCCCCAATGATGGACGATGACATAGTGGTACATATGCAAAAGATCCTCCTAACGTGGGCCACTCTTATTGCCGGGTGAGGTCCCAGATCAGCTTAGGGTATAGCATCATGAACGTCTGATGAGACTCAGACGTAAGGTCTCAGAGAAGTCTACAATCTCCCACTACTGGGCAATAAGCCTTAGGCTGCCTTAGGATAAGGAAAATGGCACAGTGTTGATTGCCAGAGGGAAAGTAATACCTACATCAGAGATGACCCATGATCTCGTCCAAGATGCGTAATTAATCAATTTTCCTTCAAATCAAGAGATGAAGACTTACCATATTCAGGTTGAGAGAACTCTTTGGTGATTTCCGCGAGTGTTTGCTTAGAACGAAGAAGATTATTTGGGTAATTCGGCCAATTTATCATTCCTTTGCCTCCAGTTGTCTGTGATGATCACAGATGAGTGAATTGTGAATAGAGCACCGGTGGAGTCAAGGTGGAATCAAGTGCAAGAAGAATATATTTGTCAAGCCTTAGCACAACCATTATGTGAACCAGAAGCGTTGTGCTGAGCCATGGATGAAATTTATGGCAAAGGAGCATTCAACTCAATTCAAGGTGAAGATGGTACATGCCTCACCAAATCGATCATGAGCTTGAGACCTGATCTTATCACCCACTCAACTGCTTGCTTGAGGTACTAAAAACAAAAGTTGACAACTCCTGCGAGTCGCTATTCGGGACTATTGCTTCAAGCGCTAAAGGGGCTTCATTTACCTCATACTTTCCTTGGATGTAACGCTCTTCATCCGGGATTCCAAATGCTCAATATCTTGGATTGACAAAATCATGTAGCTCACCTTCTTGCGAAATGGTATTACAATTTCAAAAGAGACATTGTTGCAGCATTGACCAATGGCAATATGGACATGATTGAGACCTTATGATTTTATCTACAGAAAAACATCCAAGTGTAGTAAAATGAATCCCAATGTGTATATTTACATGGTTTGTTGCTTCTACTTGCCTTTGAAGTTGGAATCTAGTAATTATTGCACTATTTGTCGCGTAGTATGTGTATTACTACACCAATGCTGAGTGATAAATGAAAAATAGAGATAAAGAAAGAATCACCAATCTAGCTCAAGAGAGTCGAGTACTTGCAAAATTTCGACAGTGTGTGACTTACTGATGACCATCTTTGCTACCTACAACTCCAGCGGAAGATGCTTCAGCAAATTGCATATGGCCGAGATGACGATGGCTTAAAAGAATACGTGACACGTCCCAGAGATACTGTGGAAGGACCTGGAAGGACGTATCACGTATGTAACAGCTCTTCGAATACCCCGACCATGTCAATTCTGAAGTTCTGATGAACGGGAATGGATTGGCCATGACGCTTGAAGATGCAGCCCATTGCGACAAGAATCATCACTCCATACGCCCGAATTTCCACGACCTCAGCGTTCACTCTCAAATCCCGGCATTGTCAGCAATCAATCGGACTCCCCGTGGCACTCGTCAACCATGACTTTTGAGACCAGCTAATTTTGACTTCCTTACGGCTGTGCTGGGCTTGGTAGGTCCCAAGCAAGCCAAGCTACTCTACACCCCCGTGGCACGTCAGAAGTGGATGAAAAAATCTTGTGTTCGTCTAGATATGGATGACCTGCAAACTTGTACAACCTTTCGAGGGTCAACGCAAGTCCCACTTTTCGATTTCAATTTTTGTCCAACTTTTTAAAATTTGTATTTTTATCCGTTCGACATCTCATCAATTATTAATCTCACGCCCCAGGTCGGGCATATTCGTTTTTCAGCATCTGGTTGAGTACTTTTGTGGTGAGTAACCTTTCATCTTAACCAGAATTCCTCAGAAATGTCAATCCACCTTGATTGAGTTCTCAACTAATGATCCTTACAGTTTTTTTTTCTTCACCGTTGTGGTATCAGTCTTGATATTCGTACACTGGATTGAGGAACATTTAGAAGAAGTTGAGTCTCGACGTCTACGGTGATTTTATTGAAGCTCGGAACAATCCAAGCAGTTGGAGTAGTCGTGAATGAGTATGTTCTAGAGAAATTCTTCACACTCAAATTGATCAAACGCTGATTTTCGAACCCATCTTTTAACATTAGGAATCCACAAATTCGCCCTGATTTGAGATCTTGAAATCAGAATACAATCCACCTATATCAACATCGGAATCATGATATTTATTCAAAAAAGATCAAGGACTTCTAGAACAGCAAGAGCCAACATCTATTACGTGCAACATACTCAAGCTAGTGCCTTCTTTACACCTGATTCTATCAATCCTGTTTTCCGGCAAATAATCCTACAGCCTCTGCCATCAATCCTACAACTCCTAACATCAATCCCATAACTCCCATCACCAATCCCACAACTCCCATCACCAATCCTACCATTCCTGCAAATAACCCCACAGCCTCTACAGCCAATCCAACAACTACCACGACCAATCCCATAAATCCCCTCGCCAACCCCATAACTCCTATCACCAATCCTACGAATCCTACGAATCCCACAAACCCAACAAATCCAACAAATCCAACAAATCCTACGAATCCCATAAATCCTACAAACAACCCTACCGCTTCTACTACCCCTCTTCAAACCCAAAACAATCCTCCATCTCGGAATCCCACCGCACCACCTCCAAATAGGACAAGCCCGAATGGACCCCCTGGCTTGTCATCGTCCGTGAATGCAATCAATAGCCAGAACGGTTCCACTTCCTCGACCCCACCTCAACTAAATCCTCCAATACCCACTAATCTTTCCGCAACCAATCCTACACCCAATTCTCAAAACACCCCTACATCTACCGCTCTTCCTGGGAACCCAATCTCTACAGCCTCTAATGTTCAAAACGGCGCCTCTGTTTCTCCAATCCCTCCAGGCCCACCTTCTCCTCCCACCCCAGAGGCACTAGCAGAGTTGATGCGCGCTGATAATGTCAATAGTGTCAAAGGACCATCTGGTGCTGTGATTGCTATAGCTGTGATCTTTGCTGTTGCTATTCCACTTGTAAGTCTACTGTTGGTATCATCATATCGAAGGAGAAAAAGAAGACAGATGAATGGTATGAGACGTTTGCCGGATTAATCAAGATTACGACTAGAATTTAAAACCTATTTATGTTGAATATGTTTCATTTATGTGTTTTCATTAATTTAACGTCTTATTTCTTAAACTCTTCTGTAATGGTATCAAAAGTCTAGGTTTTTTGTTGGAATTATTTGTTGTAATTTAATGATATGGGAAGGTCTTTATCTTTTAATTCGAAAAGTTGATAATTTCTCTTCATAGAGACACATACATACATAGACTGTATCAGGTAAACAAAAAAATAGACAATCCTCTCGTCTCTTCTTCAAGTTGTCACTTGGATCATTGTATTCAAGAATCATCATTTACGCCTTACAAGAGAAGTGTAAGATGTGATGAGGAATCATGTTTTACGAGTAAGATGATCTTTTCAATTTCCATATTTGTTCCTCCGTGGCAACTTTCAATCTCATGCATTGAGGCTTCCCTAGGAAGAAATTAAAGAAATTCTTAATCGCGTTCGGGTCAAATCACATCACATCGATTCAAGGATTGTAAAACAGATTTCATCGTCATCATTAGTGGCTTCGTGAACAAGCTCTTCGATCCGTCGACTATGACAAAGTGTAAAGAACAGACAACGTGTACAAAGAGACAAATTGATAGAGGTAAAGATCAAATATAGTCACTCATGGAAATCACAATATAAAAGAAAGGAACGCCTCACACACATTAAATTGCGCAGTTGAAGTCATAAATAATAGGCCAATATATAAGCGGAACACACAGCGGATGGAAACCATCGAGACTGATGAAAAAAATAATTACTGAGATTATAAGAAATGTCCAATGGGATTTAAAAGATGCCTACATAGTGCGATTGATGAAAATAAGCAAGCAAAAGTTGAAATAAAAACATGTATGTTACGGCTATCAGACAATGTCCTATAGACTCATCAAAGGGTCTATATGAGTACACGCTAAGATCTGGTCGAGGTTGTCCACAAAACCATAGTTGAATAGATTTCGAACATCTCTGACCCAATGACTCAGTTTGGGCGATACGATTCAAAATGCCACATCAGGTCACTTTGAATGATCTGATCAAGGTGATAAGTATCATTTGTTACGTAAGGTTTCGCACATGGACCAGTGGCAGGTTGAAGACGTCCAAATTCGTTCAATTGGCGATACCCTTTGGTGGACTGGGTATGCTCTTCGATTATCGCCGTCACATCAAGCCACTCATCATCTTCTATTCCTAGTTTTTGACGTTTTCTCGATCCGCCTGAAAAAGCGCTGGATAAAGTGGATCTGATTCTGCGTTTGATTGCCTCGATCATACGTAAACGCATTGCTCGATTCATGGCCATCAATTTCGATCTTGAGACTGACTTCGAAGGTGAGCCGTTGGGCGTTAAGCTAGTGGAAGTGTCGACTGATTTGACGGGTTTACCTGTTCAATAATTCAAATCGGTCATCAATCATCAATCTTTGAGCTGATAGTTAAGGTACGCGGGCGAATATCCAATAACACTCTGCAGAGCACAACTGACCATAAGTATCATAAGAAGTAATACTCTCGTCTGATGGGCAAAGCTCGAGACGACGCTTGGCCAATGTAGAACCTTTGTAGGCAAAAAATTCAATTCCCTTCATCTCGGCTGTCGTTTGCGCAATGAGAAACTCTGGTCGATCCTTGGCGTCATCTTTTTCGGTTCTGGAAGTAGACGAAGAGTGTTGGGGCGTGCTGCAGAGATTATGCGTTGATGAAAGTATATGTAGCTGGCTTTCAAGCTGGCTTAAGCTTCTTTCACGCTTACCGTTCTCAAAGCCGCGGAATACGAAGGGGGGCATAGTCAAAAAGTGGTATGTATTATTCAAAAAAACACTGGATGAATGGCAATAGTCAGATGTGGATATCTAGCCGGAAAAGATACTTAGCAAATCTGAGGCTTACCGCTAGCTAATTCCAATTTGTGGGTTGAACGACGTAAATGAGGGAATGCTATTATAAACAAACGAATATTAGCGCCAGTTAGCAAACACAAGATATTCTAACAAACCTGCAGATGATCTATATTCGACGTCCAGCAATCAAAACCAATAAACCTGAATTGATGAACCTGTTTCTGATTTAAATCTTGAATTGCAGAGAGAGGTATCAAAATGGCAGAAGGGGTATGAAGGACTGGCACACAATAGCCGACAAGTAAAGAAAAGAAACGGAAGTCAAACTTGAAGAAGTGTAATGATAAGTACAACAAATGTAGAGAAAACGGGCAAACAAAATTATCTTTCTTTGACTTTGACTCGAATGATGAATTTATGTATCTTCAAAGTGTCGCCATGATGGAAAGGTCGGAGAAAAACGGCCAAAACAAATTGGTTAATGTCGTGTGTGAAGAGGTGTGAGCTCGGCTATTGGTTTGAACTTAAAACCGTGGCCGAGCCTCGAGACGGCCATTTCAGAGCTTCCACAATGCCTGAGCTCTGCTGTCATGATACAAATCTAGCAGCGACGAGGCTGAGCTCCACGCCAGTCCTGCCAAGTCTGTGGGATGATTGGCAAATGCAACACCTCATAGAACAGTCAAAGGTCAAACCCTCAAGGATATTCTCTCCAAGTATAAATGATTTCTTACACGGGAAACATGACTCACATGAGGATGAAAACCCTGACCAGTGACAGCAGGTTAGTCCGCAGGATAAGGATGAGCCGTGGAAAGATCACCAGGAAAGATCATGTCCCAAGCGCCTCAGCCATAATATATGACACACCAATTCTTTGTGATTGTTTATTCCTTTCTTTGTATGTAGACTTCTGCGGTCTTGGGCGAGTCTCAATGCAGGCCTCATCAATCCTTCATAAGCTCTTGAGTCAGCTTGGAACTGGGTCCCGTGATGAGCGTAAGTTTTGGATTCGAGGCGCATCCAGCTCGGCTTTTCTGGCGGCCCCTCTGGAGTATGCCAAAGACAATGGCAACACCATGCTATCTGACCATGCGTGTTGATTGTGAAAGGACATCTGGCTTCAAATCGTGTATTGATAGGACAAAATGGGATGATTCCAGGAAATGATGAAAAGATGATGAGATGTTGAATGAGTTTAGAGGATCCTGTGAGTCAATATGTGTATGTATGGTTTCGGGCCAGGGATCAGGAGTTTCTTCATGATACAATTCTCTGTCACATCTTCATCCCTCTCTCATCGCTGAGCATCGGATCCAGAAATCCAATTTCACATCCAATTCCGTTAAGAATTTTGTCTTGAAAGATGGAAGTGATCAACTTGAGAATCAGGTTCGTTATCATTTTTCGATCAGTTTGAATTTCTTTCGATCATTTCACTAAACTTTCTTTGTGTTAAACAGATCTCCATCAGGTGTTTCTACCATTCAAATCAATCCTAATTCAAGTCGACAAGAATTATATCAAATCATTTCATCCAATACTCAACTTGCTGATTCAACTTTTGAAAGTAAGATCCAATCTATGTTACTTCAAGATCATCATCAAGCCACTCTTCTTCTCAACTTACCCGTTTCCTTCTTGGTACCGGCACAAGTGTAGTTCGACTCGGTTTTCCAAGACCTCAACTTCTTCCTGATTCATCTCCAACTGCAACGATCAAGTCCTTAGGCATCACCAACGGAGAAACTCTTCAAATCTCATTAACCAATTCAGCTCCTTTGATTCAACCACCAAAAGCTTCAGCTCCTTCAATTCAACAACCTTCAGCATCAGCATCAGCATCGACACCAAACCCATCTTCAAAATCTAAGCCTGAAAACGTTTCAGTTCCAATCGATGGTCTTGGTCACCTTATCCTCAGACTCATAGCTGATGACAACTCATGTCTTTTTAATGCAATCGGACTCTGTTTGGAACGAACCCAATCTAATGTTTCATCAAAACTAAGACAAATCGTAGCTCAAGCTGTTAGAAAGGATCCTTTGAAATGGTCTGAAGCTGTTCTGGGTCGTTCTCCTGAACTTTATATCAGTAAAATCTTGGATAAGAACGTATGGGGTGGTGCGATTGGTATGATGACTTTTTTTTTGGTTGAATCATCATTATCAGATAAACAAACGCTCATCATCATCTGATTCTCACTTTGGTTTCCTGCTCTTCCTTTATGGTCTTATACGGTATACTTTTGAATGTTAAGAAATTTCAATCCTTTCCGGACATTATCAAACGGAAATCTGTTCAATCGATGTCAAAACCGGAAGAGTGAGTGTGAGATCCTACTCTAGAAATCCTACTCTAGAAATCCATCACTCCTTCCAGCAGACCAACAAACAAACTAAACCATTTGATCATATATCTTTTTATCAGATCGATCGATTTGGAGAATCCGAAAACTATTCCAACCGAATCATTTTAATCTATTCTGGAATCCGTTATCAGTCCCCATTTCAATCCTCTACCTAACCCAAACCTGATGATTTGATTTCTAACTAACTAACTTTTGTTTCTTGTATGTTGAAATCTTACAAACCTTAGATTATGATGCACTTACTCTAACACCTGATCTTTCAACCACCGATACTTCATTCGATACCACCATCTTTTCAACTTCTCAAGACGATCTCTTAAGCTCTTCTTTACAACTAGTTAAACTTTTAAGAGAACAACATTATTTTACAGACACGGCTTCTTTTAGTTTACGTTGTATGGTTTGTAAAACCGCTTTGGTAAGCTCTCTTGACCCCAAATAGAACTCTTTCGAAAAACCAGATGTTGATCGTTGTGTCTTTTTTTAGGTGGGAGAAGCTGATGCTCGTAAACACGCTGAACAAACTGGTCATACACAATTCGGAGAGTATGCCTAAACTATCAAACAAAAGTGTTGTCTAGGAGGAAAGAAAGGGAAAGGAATATTCAACAACTGTCAGACTTTAGATTTTCAATCAATCTCTTGAACATCCAATGAGGTGAAAGAAACTGATGAAAAATCTTCTGACATTGTATGATAGCCTCAGAGTTTAAGTTTTGTATCTAATTTTACATGATGTGAGATTGATAGCCATCATTAAGAGTTGAGCCCATAAAAGATTTTCTGAAATGAGCCAAGAAGAAATGTAAGATGAAGCTTGGCTCTCATGACTCATAATTTTCACTTTGATGAGAATAGAATTTGTAAGATGAACTTGAAGGTTTGTTTCTTTTTTAGGGTGAGGATGAAGAAAAGTCAGAGATCAAGAGGGTTTGAAAAGTCAAGTCAGGTTGGATTGGTTCATAAAGTGTGTTAATGTATTTATGTGACTTCTAATTTGGTACATAAACCTCCTATTGAAGACTGTCAAAATGCTTGTAAAGGAAGATATCTTTTAAGGTTTGAATGAAGAGTCCCAATGAATTTTAAAATTCCAAGTTCAACTGAAATCAAAAAACAATAATAATAAATTCTTTGAGGTGATTGAATTTGAAAAAAAGACATAAATAACTATCACGAACAAGAAATTGAACCAGGTCTTTACATAATTGGTGATCGATTTGAAGAAAGCTCAGCCTCCAGTGTCCACGGATGAGATCAAATTGAAAGCTATTGTTTGATTGATTTATCAATTTTCATTGGTCTTTAAGCCTGCCCCTCGTTTTGATTTTGATTTGTCTTTGGGGTTAAGATATTAAGTAAGTACATAAATATATACACTTAAGCTTGCTTAAGATTGATGTTGACTTTTGAAGTTTGAATTCAAAGGGTCTTTTCGGATCCTCTTCAATTGTTTCTTTCACTCTCACTCTGAAGCTGACTGTGATTCTGACTGTGAAGTTGAGCTGAGCTGATTCTGATTGATTACCTTCAACTAACCCACTCTGATTCGATCGATCGACCACCAAACAGCGCGTTGGAATTAAATTTCAATACAGAGATTAGAATTTACCAAACTTAACTGATTTTTAAAACAGGAAGGACTTTTGATCAGACGCTATCGCAATCATTTCAAACTACACTTTCTTCCCTCTAAAAAACGAAAAAAAAAAATAAAAAAAAATCAAACCACATCACCAAATCATCTCCACCCCAAATCCTCAAACATCTAATTCAACCTATTCGATTCCAACAATAGCACTTCAACACCACTCACAGCAACCATCTCAAGAAAAGCAACCACCACCACCACCATCATCATCAAAGCAAACTCATAAGCCAATTCTCTTTACTTTCAGTTTGGTCAACCGATCTCGAATCAACTTAATCGATTCAAGTTTCGATTACTCATCAATCTCAACTCATCTCATCAGTTCGTACTCTTCCTTTCATCAATTGATCAACCCATCTTCTCTCTCTCTCTCTCCCTCCCTTCCTATCTTCTCTCTCTCTTTCTCCTTCATCTCCTCTTTCTCTGTCTTTCATCTAGCCCTACACCTTTGGTACCATCACCGACCTACGACCAGCGTCAATGAACTGAAACGCGAGTATGAAGATGTTCTGGAAGCTTAGATTAGGTTATTTTAACTCTCTCGGTCTACACAGCTCCCTTGTCATCTTGCATGACCCCTTTGATCTACCATCACTGCGTCCTATACACATAAGCTGCTTAGAGCAAACCTCAAGGATCACAGCATCTTAGAAGGACCGTGCTGTTCAGTTATAATCTGCTGATGTTCACTTCTCATTCGCTGACAAATTCGGTCTCATGGAAAAGAAAGTGTGACTGCGAAACACTTGCAAATGTTTACCTCATCTATATGCTATACCATTTCCTGATATCGATGGTGATGATGGGCTGTGAACACCTTGGACCCTGACCATGAGAGAGTAAGAGTCGGATGGAGATACGCGTTCGAACATCAATCTTCCATCTTTCAATCTTGCTTTCACCTTCTTGACCATTCTCATTCTTGGAATTTTCCTATCTTCTCGTCAGTTTGAGCAGTCGACTCGGTGGTAATCCTGTACTTTCTCAAGGCTTGTCTATCCATCATACACCGGGGGGATTTTCTCCTGGTTGGATTTGGATCAATTCGCTTCAACTCCTCATGCTTCTCTCTACCTGACCTCTTTGCAGTTCTCTCATCATTCCGAAGCATTGACATCTCTCACAGGCTTATTTGAACGTGGTTTGTGACCTGGGTGAATCTACAGGGAATCGCCTTGAGAATTTTTTCATCTCTTGCTTCATTGATTTGCATCAGAGTCTGTATCATTGGCTCGACAGACCCGTTTCTGTCCGTTTGTCTGTGCATTTTGATACCTTTTTGACCCTGTTTGACCACCTCTTTCAGCTTTATTACTGTTCTACTTCTGATGTAACATTTGCAACACACACAGTATTCTGACTGACCCGGTGCGCTCATCTTTCACAGCTCAACCAAGTAATCCTAAACCCACTTCGGTCGACCCAGCTCATCAAATCCAAGCAGGCACTCTTTAACTCGTCGCATTCAAGTCATCATTCTATTCGAAACCTTTTCGCCTCATTACAAGCAGAACCAATAACTTTAGCGATATGCAGACTATCAAATGTGTTGTAGTCGGTGACGGTGCTGTAGGAAAGGTAAAGCTCCTTTGTTACATGACTACATCTGCCCTTTTTACCACAAGGGCTCGATAGGCTTGATGAATCTCATGTGTCTTCTTTGTTTGTTTGCGTGACCGACTTTACCTTGATCAATCCATCACCCTCGGAGTCCACGTTCTAGACCTGTCTTTTAATCTCGTTCGTCGTTTCGACTCAGTTTTGTTTGATGGGAAAGTTACTGATTCATTAGGCCTTATTTCCTACCCGAAACACTTATCACCGGTCATGGCTATTTGATCTCTCAGATACACTACAAATAAATTCCCTTCAGAATACGTCCCAACCGTTTTCGACAATTATGCCGTCACAGTCATGATTGGCGATGATCCTTATACGCTGGGTCTGTTTGATACTGCCGGACAAGAAGATTACGATAGGTTACGGCCGTTATCATATCCTCAAACAGATGTCTTCTTGGTGTGTTTCTCAGTCACTAGCCCTGCTAGTTTTGAGAACGTCAAGGAAAAGTGGTTTCCTGAGGTTAGTTTCCACCTTTTTTTGTACCGTTTGCCCTTTGGTCTGACATCGAGGTCTTTTGACGGATTCCACTTAGGTCCACCATCATTGTCCCGGAGTTCCATGTTTGATTGTGGGAACCCAAGTCGATCTTCGAGAGGACGGAGCAGTGATTGAGAAATTGGCACGACAGAAGCAGAGACCCGTTCAACCTGAAGCGGGTGAACGGCTTGCAAGAGAACTCGGGGCTGTGAAATATGTTGAATGTTCCGCTCTAACTCAAAAAGGACTCAAGAATGTGTTTGATGAAGGTACAATCCACCCTTCAACTCATCAGAGCAGCAACCTTCAATACTGATTTGTCTCATTCTGCTTCGATGTTGCTTTTCTAGCTATTGTGGCAGCTCTGGAACCACCAGTCACAAAGTCGAAACGAAGGTGTACAGTCAGTTTTTCCATTTGTTGGAATTTCTTGGTGTCTGCTATGGTACTGATGACGATATGCTGTGCGTTGTGTAGATTTTGTGAAGGCTTGGAGCATCTCTTATATCTACCAATCGGTCCTTACGGCAGTATCTTTTGTTATTCTTACTCCCTTTATCTCTTCTTCTCTCTCCCATCCAATTCTTTTGCCTCTCGCTCGATTTCACTATATCTTTGAACCCTCCACCCCACTTAGGGAAATTAACGTCTCCCTATTTTAACTTCATCTTATTTCTTTTGACTACTCCTTTTTCTTTTTCTTTTTTTCTGATCATGACAATCTCTTTATTTTTTTCTTATTGATGGTTTTACTTTTTTTTCCCTTCTATTTAACTGAGCTTTTTTCTTTTTCTTTTTTTTTTTGTTTTTGTGTGATTTTTTTTTGTGATTTGTGATCTTCTTTTTTTTTGTGTGTTTGTCTTATGCCCTTTCTTTTTAATTTTTGATTCTTTGGCCTTGAATTATAATAAAAGATGAACGCAAGACTTTTTTTTCACTGGTAAGTTGGTGGAGTAAGATTAGGTTAAAGAAAGGTAGTGTTTAGATGTACTTGATGGGTGTTGTTGAAACTGGATGAGAAGATGTTTTAAGAGTCTTGGTCAGTAGATATGGGTCTGATTGACTTATCAGCACCATGTAAGAAACATGAGACATTTTATTCAAAGTGGTCAGATAAGGTGGGGTAACTTTATTGGTTATGAGTACAGCCTTGAGAGTGGCAGGCCAGAAGAAATTTTTGGTTACAAATACCACATCAAACTGGTAAGGTCAGGAGATGTAATCATTTCTAAGCCTTGATGAGTTTCTTCCAAAGAACCCTCTCATGATGATATCTAGGAATTTTGATTGATGTTCTTGTGCAATGATTGGTTTTCAACTCATCATTAACTAGATAACAAGCAGTTTGAAAGTTCATGTGTTGCATGAGATGATCCAAAATTGAAACTTTGGATTATCATTAGGGGTACACAAACATGAAAACCCGACCTAAAAACCCATGGACAAAACCCATGACAGCCCGATTGTTTTTTGGGTTTTGTCCAACGGGAAAGTGGAAAACCCATGGACAAAACCCAAAATACAATCAGGTTGTCATGGGTTTTGTCCATGGGTTTTTAGGTCGGGTGTTCAAGTTTGTGTACCCCTATTCCTTATACATAGGTTTGGGAATAAAAGATTCTCAAAGCAATCTTTATTAGGTTTCTGATACAAGACCTACATAATTTAGTATTGTAATTCTTACTTGGTGGAGCTTATGACTCTTTGGTTAATTCAAAGAACTTGAGTGCTGACTACAAAGTCCTTGTTTTGTTTCAAAAGCATTTGATTATTGATACAGCCATATTCATGATTGATGAACACTTGAAAGAAAACTTTTTGAATGTGTTGTGCTGTACCTGTTTACAATTTGTGTTGATCATTTAAAAAGTTTTTTTTTTCAAATGTTCATCAATTATAAATAAGCCTTTAGATTGTTTCAGTTTTAGTCCAAAAGTTTTATTAATGGCCTTGCTTGTTCTGTCAACTACATATAGGGATTTTTGGGTAATCAGATTATGAGAAGCTTCTGATATGAGTGAGTGTCTTAATGTTTATCCTTTTCCTGTTCAGTATAGCTTGCTATGTAAACATAAAATGTGTTGTTATTATTGACTTTTTTGGTATCTATTCAAAAGCATTGAATGTAGGTTTGTCTTTCTCACTATTACCTCAACATATCTTCCTACCAAGTGTGTTTGCTACTCTGGGTCAATCTTGTACATAACAATGGATAAAGGGAATCAATGAACTTTATAAATAGGATCCCACTATTTAGAGCCCTCGGAGCAGTATCCGGCGCCCCCTCTCGGGTCGGACACCAGGCTACAAACAATTTAGCTGCCCCTTTTTTCAAACAGGGCTCCTTGTTTGAAAAAATCGGCCTTCCTCCTCAAATAAAATTGCCCCCTACTCATCCTCCAATGTCCATTGACCTCGCCGTTTTGTTTTGTACACGCTACGTATATGTACAGTCCAAGTATAAGGATAGAAGCTAAGAAACTATGTCGAGGGGAGAGCAGAGTTTCTCAGTTCACTATAGCGTCCGACGAGCCACTATTGCACTTGAGTACACAAGACCATGGCATATATGTATCCTAAACTCAAGGAAGGTATACATAGATTTAGGGGGTTCATACAACATAAGGAAGAATTGAGGGAGAGATACAACATCAGATATAGGAATCAGAACTAGAAAGCTAAAAGAGCTAGAAAGTCGAAACGAACGAGTAGGACAGGAGAGCTACAAAAACAAACACAAAAGGCAACACAAGTATAGAGTAGAGTGTACAACATAAGAGACAGACTAGTGACTGTGAGGCCACAAATTCAATTGTGCTCGATACTTGCACTTGACATCGTCACCCATTCCTATCTAACCTACTCTTTGTGCCCCGTTGCTTGTTAGCTCTTCGTCTATGATCTCGCTCATTGCACCTTGAAGGTTTAGAAATGCGTAAAAAACAGCAAATCAGTTTTAAAGCCTCTCAATTCAAGTGGAATGAAATGCGGATGATTTGAGCAGTTTTTTTGTACAGAGCAAGACCCAGTCTCACAAGCAATAAAGGGGCTGATAACGCTACCATATGAGCATGACGAAAGGCAATTGATGAGTGATGTTCATTGAATAGTCCTTCATGGTATACTACATACGCACAGGAAGTAAAGATGAAGATATCTGTCAGCTTCAGCAATACATGGGAGGATATGGGAGGTGAGGGTTAGATCCCAAAGAGCAGCCACTGGAAGGTGGTCCAATGTCACATTGTATTTCAGTACTCGGAAGCTTGTGACTTTTTCCGAAGGTTCCAACTAACCGTACGTTTCGATTGAGTATGCTTCTTCCCGTAGCTCTTTGATTGGGTTGTAGAGCTCTTTGATTTTGTTGTTGAATCCATTCATCATCTTGGTCATGATTTGAGTTAGACCATTTGATTGAGCTTCCTAATGATAGGGACCTTAGTTCGCTCATCATAGAATCTGTTTCATTCAACGTAGGATGGTCCAATTTTTTGGAGGGGGAGTTCGGATTGCGTTCACCGGTATCCGACGGTTGTTAATGAGGCATAGAGAAGGGGATTTGATGATTAAATGAAGAATGAGGTGAAATATGGGTGATTGAGCAATTGGGTGATATTTTGAGCTTCAGAGACGGAAGTTGCTATTATGGGTATGTGTCCCTTACTTGAGGAGCCAATGTCTGTGCAGTAATGGGGCCGGTCCGGGCGCGAAAGAACTTGGGCGCCCTTTTATTTGTTTTAATAAAGTTTTGTTGCCCCATCAAGGATGGAAGGGCACCAAACAGGTCAATTAAGAATTAATCAGGGGCTCTATTTGCGAGTTTGCGCCCTCTTAGAGAGCCCTTGAGGAGCCCCCAAGGTCCGACTGTGCGAAATATAGGCTGAAAATAGTCGGGTGTCAGCGGGTCACACGGGTTTTGGTGAAAACCCGGGGGGCTCCGGATATCAGCCGAGGGGGCGCTAAATAGTGGGATCCTATAAATATGATGGTTTGTTACCCAACTTGGTAAAATTGGTACTGTTCCTTGTGATACCTCATATAGTGAAGTACAGGGATGTGAGAGCATTGACAGTTGAAAAATTGGACCTATTTTCAAATTTAGAAATAAGGCCCCAAATCTTTACTACAATGGGAAACTACTTTAAAGTTCAAACTTTGGAATGCAAATTTGGAAATATATATCTAGGCTCCAAATTTCTGAACTTATGCTCATACTCACCCCTCACACATGTCAACCTAAACATACAAAGCTCATAATGTGTGTATATACATATCCTGTACATATTTGTAGCCTGGACCATTACATCTAGAATGATTTGGGGCCCTACCATTTTTTCAATTTGAAGTCTTGATTTGTAGTCCATCATTTTGGACAATCTGAAATCACAAAGTGTCTTTTCTGAAAAATGTAACAAGATTCCAAAGTACTTCAGGATATTACTTTTGGTCATTGGTCTTGCTCAACAACCATCCTTTTTGATATCAAAGGCCAGTCTAATTAAACTTTTGACTTCTCATATTCCTTCTTACATACACATCTTGAGGAATTTCTCATTATCATATCTGCATCCAATTTCCCTGGAATCATCATGTAAAACTTTATCATAATTTGAGATAGTGTCCCATGCAAAGCTGGCACACTACACTATACAAAGCTTTTTTTAAAGAGTTAGTCTAAAATGTAGAACAGTAGTAATTGGGACCTTGAAAATGGAAAGCAAAGCCTAGCATGTATAGAAAAACAGTCAGTGCAGCAGTAGAATTGTAGTAATTTTTTTTGTTGAGAATCCATTTATTGATGTTTTCAAAGCTTGCCACAAATTCATAAACAATGGTTGGAAGAGTCCTGAGATGATAGGGGGATGTTTGGTATGATTGAAGGAGAGTCATTAAATCAAACAATGGCATGTAGTTGCTTCTGTCTTGTCTCAACCATAGCCTGGCCCCAAGACTCAGGATGAGCCCCGGCCTGTCGGGCTTGGAGACCGCGCAAACCGACCCCCGAGCAACAAGCCAAACACCAGCCCAGCTTCCGAGCCAACCCCGCCCTGGCGGGTATTTATAGAAAGACCCTCAGCCCGGTCCCCGACCACCTGCACGTGCACGTTCATACTGAATAGCATAGGGTCATAACGAGCCTCGTATGACCAAATGTGGTTCGATCCCCCCTGCCAAGATGATCCACCATCTTGAGAAGCCTCTTGGGTAATCTCAAAGTGGCTAAGTCAAACTTTTCCTTAAGGGGGAAACACAGCACACACATCGACCCAATCAAACCATCCACCCTTGTAACAAAACCTCACCACACTTCATACATACTCTACCACCCCACCTCTAAAACTACCACGTGTACTACAAACCGACGTTGGCTACACCACATAGATCAAACCCCAACCACTCTACCAACTCCCCACCCACCCACATACAAAAGTGTACAAAATCTCACCACACTTCACCGTGACCTACCACCCCACCACCAAAACCAACCCGTGTACTACAAACTGACATCGGCTACACCCAATCCAAGAAATTCAACCACTTCTGAAAGTCACTAACCCCTTCAAGCCTGATTCCTACCACCCTTAGCAAAGTACATTATACCTCGCCATCCAAAACCAACCACTCTACTCACTCCCCACCCACATACAAAAGCATACCAACCTAAGCTCTCGTTCACCCTCAAGGTAAACCTACCTGATCAAAACTCTTAACAAACCACCCACTTGTGATTCTGTACATATACCCTAACCCCATCAGCTCGGAAATCCCACCTCCCTTCAATTTGGTGACTTCCAATTCTAAATTGATTCACTCCTACCTCCAACCAAACCACAAACCACCAAACGACATGGATCTCTCCACCTCTCTCCCCACCTCATCAAACCATCTTGCAACTCTTCTACCCCCTCCATCAGATTTCGAGGCACCAAACAAAGACAAAATGAAGAAAAAACTTCAAGCATATGCCGAAGCAAATGGTTACAAGATCACCATACGATCGACTGACAAGGAGACCAAGATTCGATATGCATGCCATCGATCTGGGACAAAGCCATCTGAGACTTCATGCTCCCTGAAGACTGACTGCCCCTTTGCCTTCAATGCATACGAGGTCACCGCTTCCACAACCCCCAGCTACCTTCAGGATTTAGTTAAGTCCACCAATACCTCCAACCGTTTACCCCCAATAGGTACCTGGAAGGTCCAGATCAAGCATCCGTATCACAACCATGGACCTATGGGTTTGGAAGTAAGTTGTTTACACTTTATCTCTATCTTCAAACTAGTTGCTGATTGCAATACTCAAACTTTTATCACATAGACCCATACCCCCAAAGTGGAGAGCCTTACTGTCATCAAGCAACGCTCGAGTTTGGTGAGTACTCTTGATCACTGCCCATACCCATTGTACAGTGCCAATGATGTATCTATTCCCAGATATCCAACAAGCTATCCCAGCTTTCGCCTCTCGATCGCACCAAAGCACTTTCCGAGATTCAACAAGTCCTTGAGAAGTATAACGCCTCGGCCCTCCAACCACATCACTCAGTTGAACACATTGAGCCAATCTCAACCCGTAGCGATGTCTCCATGGGCCCCGGCCCTTCTACCACGCTGGTGAGCTCTGTCCTTCTCTCATATTTGGACTCGCTCTCCACGTTTCTGACAAGCTGGTATATCAAGCCTTCAATTGATCTACCTTCTGTGGAGCATACTGTCCCGTTGGTCAAGAAACGGAAACGCAAGAAACCCAAGGCATCTGCACAGCCGTTCCCAGCAGTGCTCCACCAACATTCCCCCCCACCTGTCACCCCAGCTTCACCACAACTTACTGCTGCCCCAACCATCCGGCCGCTGGTACCTCTAGACGTCAACATCTCTTCTGAAATCCTCGAAAGGCCACACTTGCCTCTGATCGTGACTTCTTACCCGATGAAAAATGCAAGACCTGAAAGTGAAAGTAACACATTGGATATGAAGTGCCTTGTTGATTACGATTCGGAAACCATGGTACAATCAAATCCCACCTAATAAATTTCAAGTACAAGGTGTCAATATATCGCACTAACAATGATCACTCCCTGCAGCCCTCACGTAGTCCAAGCGTCATCCATGACACTCTTGAGCCCCCGACCCCAATGATGGTGAGATCCTATCGATATTCTAGTTATTTTGGAATCCCAAACCTGATCGACCCATTGTAGCCTTCATCCACAAGGTCCATTTCGTTACCCCAGGCGGAACCAGCCCCAGAACCTTTGGTGAGTCACTACTGTTGATGGGGTCAATATGATTTTAGAGAGATCGTTGATACATTGCGTAACATAGCCATCCCTCCCACCTCTCACAATTGACTTTGTAGACCATGACCCAGACGAAAGCTTTGATTTAGATTCTCTGATACCACCCTTACCCCCCACAAGCCCAACTGAGAAAGATGGAAATGCTACTTCTACCAATTTAGATTCTCTGATTCCACCCCTACCCCCTACAAGCCCGAATGAGGAAGATGAAAACGCTACTGCCACAGCTGAAACCACCGAAGTCACCATTCGCCCACCAGTCACAACAAGTGTAAGTCTTCAGCATCTAATTGTACCATTTGAATGTCTTGACACATCCGCTGACCTATAGACTGTATAGTGTGAACCACCCAAGGCTATACCTGTTCAAGCACCTCCTATTCGCCGTGTGACCCGCCAGACCCCTATTGTTCCTGACTCAATATCACTAGCTGGAACTCGTCGATCCCTACGTGCGCGTAACAAAAAAGTGTGTACGTCAAGCTTCACACACTAGACTTGCCTCAAGTATCTACTATGACCAACTAAGGTGCTTTCTCTCAGGACCAACGTGTTCCACATTGGCTACACAAGTACGTGAACTCGGTGACTGACCCCGCTCCGGATGGGCATTGTGGTTATCGTGCGATTGCAATCAGCCTGGGTCAACCTGAAGACAATTGGCATTCAGTGCGTGAAGATCTCATAGGTGAACTGCAATCAAGGCCCGACTTCTACAATTCACATTTCGAAGCACGAAAACGTGGTGACGGCGATGTCAACGAGCATATCAAGGCCATCCAAACTGAAAGAGAAGAAGTACTTGACACTCCTGCATTATGGCTCAATTCGGCGCAAATGTTGTATATCATTGCAACAACATACAAAAGGGTTTTCTGTGTATATGGTGAAGATCAAAGCTTTTCAGCTTTGCCACTTGACGGTTCGGTGAATGATAATACCCCTATTTTCCTCTGTTATGATAAAAAAAGTGTCCACTTCTTGTCTCTCTTGCTTTTTTCACCTCCCACTGTCCTCCCTATCCCTGAGCCCTGGTCAGAGTGGCACAATCTGGCGCACCCAGCGGCGAAGGCCTGGTTTCACAAGTTCACCCCTTTTTTCAAGATGTTCGAAGATTGTATCATACCTATATTGGTGAAAAGTTATCCTTGCTTGTACCATCGCGGCCCTCCTGTAGAAATTGATCTTGTTTCAGATTCTGATTAGTGATACTCGAGTAATACATCATATTACATATACTTTTCATGGAGCTTTTCATGGAGACGATTAAATCATTGGCACGTCACATCATATGTTGGACTCAATTCTCAAGTTTACCGCTTCAAAGGTCAATCTTCATCTGACTCTACCAAGTACACTTTGATCGATGCAGAGTCATATAGAATACAATTGCGATTTGATTTCAGATCCTCCATCTACATTTAAGTGTTTCACAGGTTGAGTATTTCACATAGGTGAAATTTCATTCAAGTATGTCGCCTCATCTTTTCCTGCCTCTTGCTACATCCCTCATCAATAGAACCCCTTCCAGCCCCCATCGATTTCAACTTTCCATCGTACTCACGCTTTCCTTTCAGATGTCTCGGTTCAAAGGAAAGCACCAAACGTTTCGACCCCAAAAGCCTTATTGGCTCAAACCTCCCAAGACCCCTTTACAAAAGGCACATTTTCAACGTAGGCTCGCTGCTGTTATCGCACACACCCGGCGGGCACCTCCAATACCCCACGATATGACTAATGAAGAATTAGCCGATGACCTTCCGCAACCTGCTTTCATTGAGGAGATTTATCGAGAACGAATTGAAGAAGAGCGACGACAATCGAGAACGAATTGAAGAAGAGCGACGACAATGCAATCTCCTCTTGGAACGCTCATCACAAGAGATGTATGATGCCTACATCGAATGTCATCTGAAGACTTCTGAATGGGGGAATCCGGAAGTGTGGGACTTCGATCACAAGCCTTTGTGTAACTGCCCACCTAGTCAATGGCGTGAAAGAAATATCGATCTCATCGACATCTTATGTAAGCATCAATTATGTAACAAATAAAGCTATGTAGTTCCTGAATCTATCACTGATCACCATACTACCCCACCCAATGCTCGTAAGTCAGGCGGAAGGCTACCATTTGATTTTGTCGATGTCACAAAAGTGATCTAACAAGGCTTATCCTCATGGGATACATAGGCGGATCACCAAAGTACCCCGTGACAGCATTTTCTATCCGCCTCCTACGTTTCTACCATGTTATATGGAAATACTGTACCACACGTGTGGGCCCATTTGCTCGAGGCCTGGATGAGTATCTCGACGCGTTCAATCCACTCATGCTCACAAAGAGTGATCAGGTATGTGATTTTAGTCAGTATAGAATTGAAACACATTCCTTTTCTGACTTGTGTCTTAACATTGTCCTTTTTTTAGCCTCAACAATGGCACACACCTTTGTCATGGGCAATAGACACCTATCGATTGATGCTCACCAAAACTGAATCCGCCCTCGACGCCGAACTTCATATGACCACCCAGGACAAGTTAGCCGAGAACTGTCCGCGGTGCTTTGGTCCTCCGGTCAAGAGTGGTCTAATCGTATCTGAGCCGGACATCATCGTTTGCCTAGATGGAAATTTCCAACATCGAAGGCATATAACCGCCGGAACCAAAGCAGCAAAGACGGCAACAAAAATGCCTAAGCTTTTTATTCCGGATGAGCAAGTCAAAGAAATGGAACAACGGCTTTCCGGTCTTTCGGACGATGACTTTGTAAGATACATGATATCAATCATAACCCTACTGGATCCATGTTTTGCTAATATCATTCTATCCTATGCAGCACGCCTGTGCGGACCAACATACAGCAGGAAACGACACTCGTGGTAAGGGCCACTGGGCCGGATGTGATGAAACAGGGCTCATGGCGATGACTTGTCGTCATGACCACCCGCTTCGATATATCAACATTTTTCAAAGCGGAGAGAAGTCAGTATCAGTTTTTTTTGGAATCTTACCCGTGATAGCAGACTGACATACTGCTGGTATGTTTGATTTGTATAATTGACATTAGACTCTATTATAGCTATACCTTGATCAAGTGGATTTTGGATATCACAAATGATCTTGGTCTGGTTCCACAGCGGATCTGCTTTCTGTATGACATAGGATGTACGATGGAGAATGGGATTATAAAGGTTAGCACAACGGATTGAATGATTGAATCAATGATGGTATTGAATGCTGATATATTAGACTAGCGCAAAATGTTTGATGAAGAACGGCAGATTGGAAGACTAAAGTTCGGAACAAGTGTCTTTCACGCATACGTTCATCGCTGGGCTTGCCAGCTCCTCTGGAATCCCAGGCTCAACATAGGTTTTGGCCTTTCCGATGGCGAGGGTTGTGAACGAAACTGGATGGATCTGACTCCACTTGTGGCACCTCTACGTTATTCAACGTCTCAACATCGAGTCAATGCTATCAGCATGAAGGCAGACCACTGCAACATCCATCGCCGTCATCATGCAGGTGCGTCTTCCTATGCCTTCCAATTCCTCATTCAAAATACTTAAAGTGGGATCTCAGCGCGCAATCTTGTACGCAGAAAGAAAGAGGTACGAGCAAGACTTCAAGACGCTCAGGTGACACTCCGAACCCTTGAGACCCCAGCTCAAGGGTACCCTGGCCATGATGCTCGATTCTTTGAGAACTTGTGGAACACAAGAAAAGCTCATCAGCTAGATGCAATGAACGAGCAGAAAAGTCGGAAACAAGAAATGATTGCTCTGTTGCTCGGGTTAGAGGAGGAGCTCATAGGGGCTCGGTGAGTTAAGACGCGCTTTGTATCAATCCCCTTGTATATATTGATGTTTCACTCTGTTTCTTAACCTCAGTGAACGACTCAGGGCGATACAAGCAACCCGAAGTAGAGCCCAAACATACGCTGACAACAATGACCTCATGGCCCTACCTGCTACTGTTGCAGATGTAGAAGAGCAAATTGAGGGTGTGGCAACGGCCCTAGGAGGTCCTGCATTTAGAGCTTTGGCTGGAGCTACTGGTAACTCTCATATACTTTGAATGAAAATGAACCGTGCTAACGGTGCTTTTTGACTTTCAAAAACAGACAGCAAAACTAATGCCCTTATAGCCATATCTATTGCACGAAGCAACCTTTATGAGGCCAAAGTAGGCCTCATCGAATCCAGGCTACGTCGTCATCATAACACTGGTAAGTGTTGTAATATATATAGTGACAGATATATTTATTATATATCCATTATTTGTTTGATAGGGCAGCGACATGCGCAATACAATGCGCGTCAACTCAGCAAGAAGACGGCTAACCTACGTGTGAAGTATCAAACCTATGAGCGCAAAGTTCTAAAGTACCATACCGATTTTCCAAGGGCAACACGCGTTCAACTCCCTGAGCTGGGATTCGTTATGCAGATGTCATTAGAGGATGCTTTCTGGAATAGGGGTGAGGTGAATGAAGACGAGCTTGGTGAACATGCTGACAAGTTTAGAGCTGGTATAGATGCAACCCTCCTGCAAAGGAGTGCTCTTGAGGAGCTGAGACGAATTGCCAGGGAAGTCCGACAGATGATCGGTTGGGCAAATGAATATCATGAACGAATCATGTCTTTTAAGACACAAATAGAAGAAGGCAAGTACAATTTCACGTTTAAATTTTCACGTTTAAATTGAATCGAGGAACAACTCTAACCTGGCTGGTGATTCAGAAAACGACGCAGCCTGCCGGACCAGGAAGAGGTCCCTATACACCATCATCTCAAGGAGATCTTGCAAGCTGTGGAAGAATTGGAGCCGCGACCTCCACCATGAGCTTCAGGAGACTCGCGGAGATCTGGCCGGTTGTGCCGAACTCGATGAGGCCTTGGAGATGTCTTGGGGGAGGGTATGTGGATGGGCAGAGGCGGAGTGGAATATATTGGGGGGTGCTCCTGTAATTCGAGCTGAGGAGCCGGACTTGTATGAGGAAGAAGAAGACCATTGGTATGACCATCTCTATGACATGAATGGTGAAGTCTTGGGCAATGATTATTAAGCATATAATTATGCTTATATACTAATTATTATAAAAATTCACATGAATGTAATATAAAAATTTTATTTGGGTCCCCATTTTTGAGAAATCCATACATGGTTTAGGTTTCTTACCAAGTTCATTAGTATAATAAACTGAGAAATTTGCATCTTTGTATTATCAAAGATGTGTTTAGGTCCCCAGATTTGAGAAATCTAATCATGGAATAGCTTACTTAGTGGAATGTGATGTGTGTTTTGTGTTTTGTGTTTTGTGCAATGATATCATATCTCATTGCTCATGAACAATTTATGCAGCAGTGCATAAACCATTTGATTGTTGCAAACATTCATCAATATTTGCAACAATCACTCAAGACTTCCTGTTCTTGAGGGCACTCGCACATTTATGATGTGCGACAAAACACACCCCACAAGATACTTATTGTTATACTTATTTATTAATCATCATTCACACCTGACTCCTGGGTTGAACCTTCTGGTTTAGTACGACTATGAACAATGTGAGAAACAACTTACTTGGTTATACTCAGTTTGTAGTTCAAACACTTACTTCGTCTGTCACTATCTGATTTGATCTCACGTGGTTGGTGATCACGTGTTCCCTGTCATTACTTATCATACACCTGAGGAAACTTTTAACCCACTTTAACCTGAACCACTGTCTCATTTAATCTCACATATTTGCGGATTACCACCGCCCAGTGAGTGTTCACTGAGCTTTTTGGTCAGCAACTTACTCACAGTGAATCCTCATTCACTGTGAGTAGGCACGATAACAGCAGAGTGATACTTATCTTGTTGGGCAACACCTGAAATATAAATAAATTTATATTTCAGGTGTAACCTCAGTGAAACCTATGTCACTTTGTTAGTCAACTACGCCCAACTGGAACTGCATAGTTGACCATATGTTTTGATGTTCTCTAGTACAGATTGTAACAATTGTAACCAACATTGACACTAGCAGGTAGGTCTTCAAACCTACATGTCTTGCATCAAAGTTATAACATACCCTGAGCACAGGGTCCAAATTTTGCACTCACGACGTGTTAGCAAAGCTTTTTCCAAGATTGTGTCAAGATTGTTGTATGTTTGGTGCCAGGCTACACTTTGTGCAGCTTTGGAACACACTCTTTACACCTGGTTGGTGTTCACATGTGTGAGGCGGAGGGAATTGAGGCAATACTAAAATAACCAACATTGACACTAGCAGGTAGGTCTTCAAACCTACATGTCTTGCATCAAAGTTATAACATACCCTGAGTGGGTTGTCAAACATCAACTTATGTTTTTGTTCACATGTGTGAGGCGGAGGGAATTGAGGCAATACTAAAAACTGCATTGCTAATTTCCTACACCCTTTCACATAATTGGGTATTTCTTAGCATTTTCCATCCCTATAGACAGACAGACTGGATGAGTTTCATAATTGATTGTCTCTAATTATGAAACCCCTTTGTGTTTATGTAACACTTCCATCAGGCAAAAGCAAAAAAGGTTTTGCTGCTCTTCCTTTGATAATCACCCTGTAGTTACACAAACATGTCTTCCGTATGACAATAAAACTGTCCTAACATACCAAGTTTTGAATAAGAGTTATTGATGGCCTTGTGCAGATAATTCCATCAATAACTCTTTTCATAAGATTTACTGACTCTATATCAACATAGATTTACTTACAAAAACATGTGTTCAGCCATGACAATAAAACTATCCTAACTTACCAAGTTTTGAATAAGCACATGGCCTTGTGCTGATAATTCCATCAATAACTCTTTTCATAAGATTTACTGAAGGTCCCACATGATATTATACATAATATCATGTGGGACCTTCAGCCAAAGTCATAATTATTGAAATTACAACATTATATTTTGCCTTTACCTGGTTATATTTCACACAGTCACTCTATATCAACATGGATTTACTTACAAAAACATGTGTTCAGCCATGACAATAAAACTATCCTAACTTACCAAGTTTTGAATAAGCACATGGCCTTGTGCTGATAATTCCATCAATAACTCTTTTCATAAGATTTACTGGGGTCCCACGTGATATTATACATAACTCATTATTGCCTTTCATCCAAAGTCAAAATTATTGAAATTACAACATTATATTTTGCCTTTACCTGGTTATATTTCACACATTCACTCTATATCAACACGATGCAAGGATAATCAGATGATTCTTGCATCTTAGTTCAGCATGGTCAAAGGTTTCCAGCTGCTGACCAAGTTATTTTAATCGGTTTTCCGGGAATCAAATCCAAAATCCTTTGCCTTACGACAACTGGGACCATCGGAACTCATCCTGGGTCTCTCGGGTATCCTGCAATCAAAAATAAAAACCCTTATATTACTAATCGGGACTAATCGTGGGCATTGAGTTCTCGAACTCAATGCTAAGAACCTTTACCTTACTACTGGCACCTTTGGAACTCATCCGGAGTCTCTTAGTCTACATATCTTATTTTACGTAACCATGGGGAAGTAGATAATTTTAAATATTTAGTCACTTGCATATATGAATAGGTCATCTTTAAGATCTGATTATCTTACAACATTGGCGGAGCTAAAAAGTCAGAGTTAGACTTGTGCCAAGTCTAGGGGACATGAGTCTTGATATATGGAGCTACCTGAAGTCTACCCAAATGTACTCTGGTACACCACACATGGATGTGAACAACCAGGTTACAATTACGATAACTAGCGGCCATACTAAAAGTTCGCACAAGAAATAAAGAGGCAAAGATTTACATAATCTAACTGAAGGATGGAAAACTGAGTCAGAAACGCGTAGCAGGTTACCTGAATTGTGAACGACAAGGTTACGATTACGAGAACTAGCGGCCATACTAAAATTTCGCACGAGAAGTAAAGAGGCGAAGATTTATATAATCTGACTGAAATATGGAAAACTGAGTCAGTAACACGTAGCAGGTAACCTGAATGACGCACCCTCACATACCACCAAGGGCCCGCTCTGCGTCAACAAGAACTGGGTGGATGTGTGGAGGACCTCCGAGTATCTCCAAAGATACTTGGAAGGGGTACGGGGGCCAATCTAAATACGGAAATGATTGGCATCCTTAATCAAAGATAACGGCCCGAGAAGCGCCGATCTGACATCTGCATCTGGATGCCATATTGATTTGATCTTATTGGACCAGTTTACACCCCGTCAGTTTAAAATACCTGATGTAAAAACTGAAAGCGTCACACGAGGTTATCATTCCCTTCATCCTGTCAGGACATGATCACCTCGCTGGTCTATCTAATCAATACATCGATCCATGATGAAATTAACCACGGCCAGTATTCATGGAAAGGTCACAAGATTAGCTAGATCTGTCGGGTTAGATAGTGCATTGTTGCTACTGATTGTTCTACATATAATGAAGAAAAACACTGACCAGCAGGATAATATATTGACTTCACCTCGTAACTGATTTCCTAAATGAGGATAAGCAGTGATATTAGTTCAGGCGGGAATAATCAAGGATGCCGTTCGATCGAAGAACACTTACCTTTAGGATAATGTTCACGTCATAAGCCATTTCCTAAGGAGTGATAAGCAGTGATACAAGTTATTAATCATTTGGTGGAAATGATTAATTCAGTTTGGATGTATCAAGGTTGACCTTTGATATAGGTCATCAAACAGGAGCAGAAATGGAAGAGGTCAAAGTCGATAATGATAATATTAGATATTATTAACTGATTGACGCTGGGTATCACTCCAGTGGCTTCGATCAAACCTTGAGGTTGTGATGTGGTCAAGTTACTCACCCCGATTCGTAAAAATTAAACAAACAATTGGATATCAACTTCTCAATTGTCAATCTTTAGCAATTCAGAGTCAAACACTCACCTTTAACTTTACTACGTACGTTGAGTTTCATACATGTTTCCCAAAATCGAACATTGAAGTTTGAACATCAAGGTTGACTATGGTATCAGCAGATTGATCTTTGAAATGAAAACGCATTTTGAAACTGAAAAACCCGTTAGAACAGGATAGTCAGTTCCTAGGATCAACAGTTTAAGGGATTAACCACGTAGGGTCAAATTCTGACAAAGTGGAGACTGAACAAGTCGATCGGACTTTACACTGTTACCTTGAACTTGATATTCAAACCTCTAACCAAAAGATAAAAAACAAACAAGCAAAATCAATAGACAATCAAGCAATTATTGTAACAATCGATCACTTACTTTGAGCTGTAAACAAAGACTTTGGGGTAGTTTTGATGATCCTTGACTCAAGGTGTAGAACTAACTTTTCTACACAAACCACCAATCCAAGTGGGATGAACGATTTCAAGTGAAAAATATAAATTTGATTCTACATCACGACTTGATTACAATTTCCACAAATTGATTCACTTTTTGTTTTACGTCTAAACCAAAGATGAAAGGGTTAGTCAGTCATTTTGATGATTTTGGTCAATGAACATAAGGCAAGGGCTGTTGGTTTTGGTTTGGCACTCAACAAGTGCACAAGTTCCGATATGATCCACACCGGCATGAATTGGTTGTCGTGTCGCGATTCAATTTGCTATATCTTGTATGATCAGGTTTCAAATGACATCAAGGCAGGCGTTGCTTATCAGCGTAGGTTGATTTTGATAAATATGAAAGGAGGCAAGCACGCACAAATTGATTTATGATTACTTTGACATTATGGGCGAGTTTTCGGCCTATGTGTGGGGGTGATGAAGCGCAAGAATGAGGTGGTCAGCATGGAGCCAGCAGAGATCAATTGGGTGCATTAATGAAGTCCAAGCACATCCGGGTGCTTTGACTTCATTCCCATGAATCATTCTCAGGGATCCGGCCAAGAGAAATGAATCGTGAGGCATTGATTGATCATGAAGGGATATCTTTTCGGAAAATATAAGAACGTAGAGAAATGAAACAAACCTTGGATATTTGTTGATTATTCAGGCGTTTGCAGTAATATGAATGAGGGCAGTAATTAAATCTTATCCGT